ACTTAATCTGATCGTTGATGAAGTTCCTGCATTTTTTTGCAGTTTTTTAAACTGCATTGAAAACCATGGAACTCCCTTAAAATGATTTCACATTTTCCTGATGCTCATGTAACTTCTCTTATGTTTCTGAAATTTAAAAAAAGGTCTTGGTACTCTGATGAAGTTTCGGAAATTCCCTGAGTTTCTTGGAACTTCTAAAACATTTTTCAATTTCCTTGAAATTAGTTGAACTGTTCTTAGTTTCTCTGATTAGTCCTTCTGCTCTCGAAGCATTCCTGAAGTGCTCTCAATTCTATTGAAGTTCTTGATATTACCCTGAAATAAATAGAACTGTCAAAAAATTCTCGAAGCTTTTCTGAAGCTTATGAAATTGACCGGAATTTATCGGACTTTACTTATAAAAGTCTTCGAACTTCCCTGAAAGTCTGGAATTTATTGAATTTCACGAAGTTATGAAGTTATTGGAAGTGCCGTTAACAGATCTGAAATTCCCTAAAACTCTCTAGTCTAACTTCTTTGAGGTACTTGGAAGTCCTTTAAAATGTCAATTTTTCTCAAGTTATCATCTCTGAAATTATTTTGACTTCTCTACAGTTCTCTGCATATTCCTGAATTTTTTAAATTTTCTTAAAAGTTCCTGCAGTTTCCTGAAGTTTTTGGAACCACTTTGAAGTTTGCCTGAAGTACACCAAAATTTCCAGAAGTTTTCGGAACTTATCTTTTGTTCCTACAGTTTTCGTATAAAACTTTCTGAAATTCTCAGTACCTCTTTTCATTTCTCAGACTCTCCTGAAGATCTATATTGTTTCCTGAAGGTTATGAAACTTCCCTTATGTTCTCCTGATGGTGTTCCTGGAATTGTTAAGAAATTAATGCTACAGCCCAGTAGAGGTTTTAAACTTCCTTTTTAACGTGGATCTTCTATGTAGCTTTCTTAATGTTTTAAGTTCATTCTCTGAAGTTTTTTAACTATCTATAAATTTTCGGAACTTCTTGATGGTTTCTTCTATTTTACTGAAATAAATGGAACTGCCATAAAGTTCTTGAAACGAACCTAAAGTTTTAGGAACGTCCCTCAAGTTCTTACAGTTGTCCTGATATTCATGAAACTGCCCTAACATTTTTAGAACTTACCCGAAGTTCACGTAACTTACTCATAGGTCATTAAGCTTAAATTTTCCCGAATTTAATGGAACTGCCCTAAAGCTCTTGATCTTCGCTAAAGTAAATTTTCCTGAAATCTATTAGATTGCCCTGGAGCTGTCGAAACTTACTCTTAAAGATCAATCAGAACTTCTTAAAAGTTTCAACATTTTTTGATACATTCACAAGCTAAAATATGTAATCCAGATGGGCATCCGAAAATGCCTTTATGCCTTTTGGTGCGAAACTTTGATTAGATGAGCATATGCAGATAAATATATTGATCATTTTTACGAATTGACCACTTTTATAGATATTCCGCATCTCCCAGAGGGCAGCTTCGTGACCACCAGTGTGCGCATGCTGGTCCCAGATTCAAATTCATTCATGTAGCATCACAACAAGTGATTTAAAAAAATCGCTGGGCTATTCGGATCTTCCGGAGGACCGTTTCTTAAGTACTTGGGTCTGTAGATGGATCAATCTTCAGTTTTCGTGGTTAGATATATCAATATTGTCGAAAAAACAATCACGAAACTCTGTGATCACTTTCAGTTCGAAGTTCGACGATAAGTTTAGCAAAACGTAAATTCACAATCGTGATAGCAACGACCGGTGCGTTAACAAGTTGCTAACTAAAATAGCAATGGCTAAAGTTGTCAAACTAGCAGCCCGAATAACAACGCATTGGTGCGGGTGCTCTAATCAGCATAAGATTTCCTTGAAACAATTATCCATTAATTGGTTGATCAACATGTAAGAGATTTTCATCTGAAGGTGACCATTAGGCATATTTTCAGGCTTATAGTCTGTTATAGCACATCACGAATTATTTATCAGTGTCAACATAAGTAATGTTTGTAATGCACAACGTTTTGAATTCGCACTGAATAATCTCGGTGTTAGATCTTACATCTCATAACGTACAACGAAAAGGTGATCTACCCAAGCTACGTTACCCTAGTTATAATTACACACAACTATAGGTGCTCCTTAAAGGGAGCGTGAGGATTTGAGGTGGCTGAGGGTGGTCATATTTAAAATCAGTGAGTAACTAGTATAATTTTTACATAAGATCTTTATAGTCTTTTGACGCTGCTCACCTCTGTCACTTATCATGGATTTCAACAAATTCTACACCAACTACATAGCTGAAACCTTATTTTTTGTCAGTCACACATACACAGATATTGCCTTAGCCTTAATAGCCTTAATTTTCCTCCCTAGATTCATAGGGAACGACGGGGTAAGACGGTCATTCTAAGCTTGACGAAATTTTTTACCAAAGGCGTATAAAATTTCCGCGTTAAATTTAGTGAATATTGATCTTTATAGATTTTTAGCAAATTTTCATTTCATTTGATGATGTTTTATCGCGATGCAAAAAAGGTTAAATAAATAAAGAAAAAAATCATGCGGGGTAAGGTTGACCACGCGCGTGATTACCTCTCACCCCAGCAGGCCTGGGTTCAATCCCAGTCGGTGCCACCGGGATGTTCTGAGGCATAACGTCTCTGATCACTTCTTCCTTCGGAAGGGAAGTAAAGCTGTTGGTCCCCGGTTCATGAGTTGATGGGTCGATAGGTAGGGTCCAGGTGTGGGAGCTGCCTCCCTGGAGTCGGTAGCATTGGTGCTCAGCACGGAAAACAAGATCGACGGAAAACAAATCAAAGAAAAAAAGATTGTCCACCCCTATTGGTAAGACGACCACAGTAATATGACAGGATCCTGTCCTATATAAAAGGTTACTGTCTTTGTTAAAATTTCGCGTATTGGTTAGAGAACAGTAGTACAAAATCGTCTAACTATCCAGCGCTAATGTGCAAGTCAATATCCTGTATAAAATATATCTTGAGATCTTTACTATACATAATTATTCCGTCTTCGGGAAAGTTGTTCAAATGTCCAATGTCTTCTAATTCGAGAGCTGGTTAATTCAGAATTCTCTCATTACGCGACACTTGTATGCTTGTGCTTCCAAAAAAACAGCTAACTAAAGATAGATAAAGAAGATCTATCTAAGACTAAAATTATACTTAAATCTCGATTCACTTAAAATTTGGACGCACCGCTTATTTTTTTACAGGGGTCCTAGTGGTCGATTCTCGAATGTTTTGACAGCAGATTATTTGGAAAGCTCTTCTTTTTCAGTGGTAAAAGTTTTGTTACGATTCATTCAGATTTTAAAAAGGTTGTGACAGATGGAAGCCGATAGAAGGAAATTAATTTTGGACACCCACGTTGTGAAAACTTTTCGTAGTTGGACTACATCAGCCACTCGACTCTAATTTATTTTTATTAGGTTTGAACAACAATCGTAAAAAGAAACATCAAATTAACTTACAAATTGGTTTTCAACCAGCTACCGGGATCGCACTAACGGATCGTGTTTTTAGCTTCTACTTATGGATATTTTTGGTCGCAATTGAAAATTTAGTCGATTGCTGAATTTATGTATGGGCCCAAATTAGGGGCATTTAGGCCGACATTACATCCATTTCCCCTATATAGATAGGTATGATATATTGCTCTAAAACAATAAATGCCGTAATTTCATTACTAGGGAAGCTTTCAGTCTAGGGCTGTTTCGCCACCGAGTATTTTACAAAATCAACTATACTATAGCAAAGAACTCTGCATCATTAATCTTTTTCAAGACTTAATTATGAAGAGCTTTGAGTGTGTTGGATTATTTCCTTTTAAATCCATAATAATTTGCTTATCTTTTGACAGATACGCGTATTTCGTCTACTACTTGCAGACTTCATCAGTGCCAAGTAGTCAACACCTCAACACTGGTGTTGAGTACTTGGCACTGATGAAGTCCAACACACTCAAAGCTCTTCATAAAGGGATTCCGGTAAGAGGTTCGACAAATTTAAAAGATTGAAGACTTAATTGTTTCAATACTCTAAAGGCTGGTCGTCTTACCCCGTCGTTCCCTACTGTACCCGAAGAAAGCCAAAAAGCCCGAAAGGAAGCAATAATCATAGGTATCACTGTGCAGCAGCCACTTGCCACATAGACTCCACCGATAATGTACTGCTACACTGGATCCTTTATCCTCCGAGGCTCTGGGCATCCCGTTTCTACGAAGGCTCACGCTCCGCTCTGCCTGTGTGCAATGAACGCCGTTATACATCCCTCCCTATCTACCAGAATTGGCCGGAGAGTTGAAAAGTGAGGAACGAAATTGAAAATGACGTAAAAGTCAAGTACCACTGCTGCGGCTGCTCCTCCGATAGATAAAAGTAGCATGAAACTGAGCTCATGATGATGCTGCCGGTCGGTGGAGGAAGTACTGGAATAGAGCTATGTGCAGGGAGGGAATGTGAATCTAATGAATAATTTAAGATAAAGTTCAAATAGCGGAGAAGTGGATCACTTGAGAAAAGGTGAAGGGATACAGGATGGGAGTGTTGCGGCAATTAAGCAAGGTCGCACATTTTTCAATGTTGGAGAAGGTTTAGTAAATCTTGGGCTCAATTTACAGTTCCTAGTTGGATGGAAGTTATTAAATTTACAGACTAGGCATTGTCAACTTGAGCTATAATTAAATTTAATTATTTTCAGCATCTATGAATTGATATTGAATTTCCATTACGCTCTAGAAGAGCGTAATTCCGCCGCTCCATAAGACAGAATTTCGTGAATCAGTCTTAAGACAAATCACAATGGGGCTTCCGTCAATGAACCCTACGACATTTACCGTACACTGATACCCTCGAAGAGTATAATTAATTTCCATCAATTCCAAGACATTCTCCAAAATTAGCACTCCACTATGCGGTCTATATTTAAACTCATCCAATGATGTCTTTCCCTATTCCTTTCTTCGTGCGTATTTTCGCTTGCAGATTCCAACCGGGTTCTCGCCGCAGACGTAGACGAAGGTAGCAGACGGAGAATTCCACAAATCGAATCGGTAGATTGTGCGATTCCCAAAGCTCAGCGACGACGGTGAACATTTCACTTCCCGCGTCGAAGAAAGCAAAACAAAAAGTGTACCCAACCTACAGAAAATTTCGCACAGCGTGAAACCGCAGTCTCTCTAGTAAAACAAAACGAAGAATACGTCAATTCTTCGGAATACCCAATTGCTCTCGACGACCGCGTGCTCGTAGGCCCACCACTCAGCTGGTGTTGTTATCTTTGGAAATTCATCTCAACCCAACGCGCACCCTATCGCCATATCTAGTACATATATGCATTAGATAGGCGAGCAAATACCGCGAAAGGTAGCGCCACTGCCAGCCGGCCGTCTCCGGTTGTATTCTTTTCCCTTTCCTTTTTTCCATTTCGGGAGTGTTGCTTGAACAGCCCGCGCACGGGACCGCTCGGTTTCAGAACTTTAGCGAAGTGTACTGTAGCTGAGTGTTGGTTGGGTTAAGTTAAAAAAAATAGTCCAGTAGCGGTGAATCAACGGCATCTACCTTAACTGGTGACCGTGTACAGACGAACGGAGAACACCGAAGTGATAACCGACGTGGATGTCGAGCAAGGTTAGTTTCATTAGATCATTTAGGTTTATGGGGTGATATTATTCGAACACGTACATATGTAATTCATGGCATGGGACTGAAACTTTGAAGCGAAAGTAATGCATCATGCACAAACGAATATATAAAACAATTTTTTTTCTGTGCACGGCAAAAACTAAAAACCATTATTTTCACGCCGAGGGCAATGTACATCGAGCACGTTGAAAATATGGTGCGAAATAAATAACATGTAAACAGCAGCTTACAAGAGATTAACCATGCTCAATGGTTGTAGGTAGAGCTTTCATCTCGGGATTGTAACATTTCCCGGGATTCTCGAATGCAGTGATGCAAACCGTGGACATCCCGATAAAATTCAATTATCCGTATATTTTCTGGTACATAAATGAAAATCTGACAGTAACGAGATGGTCTTATACATCGAAAAACCATTTTAATACATTGTTAACTATCTGAATTCTCATTAGAATTATCTTTACATCTTCTTTAAAATTCACCTGCTATCCATTCTTCTTACGATTCGAGGGGCCATTAATGCGACAGTATTAAGTCAAACGCACATCTTTTGCCTAACCCGTATGATGTACGTGAAGTATGTCTTCAAGTCTACAGGCAAAAGATGTGCGTCCTCCTTCTGCTCATTACTGACTGCGGCTGTGGAATAGTTCTAGCGACGTTTCATCACTACCTAAAACCCCACGTTGCGAAAGCATTTCCAGTCGATGGTGTGTTATAATGCAATTCTTCTTTACCCAATTATTGTGTTGCTCATCAATAATGTCAATAAATGTGAATCACCTAGGTATTCAATTCAGATCTTTTGCTGGACTGATTTCTTAAAAAGTCCCGTTAGAACTCGTAGGTTGTTGGGAACAGCTTGAGCAGATACTAGTTTTTGAACTTGATTTGAACCTAAAATACATGTTTTACATGTGCTTAGGTATTTGTAATTTAAAAAATGTACATGCTCATGTAAAAAATATTTTAAAATCAAATTTAAATTTTGAATTCTTTAAGAATATTCTTAATCCGTTATTTCGAATATTCACTTTTCCTTAGTTCGTGATATGTACCAAGTTAGATCTAAAAAATAGCAATATCCTAGAGTTTTGATAAGTTTTCAAACCCAAGGTGGTGATAATGATTTCAAATGATTATAGTGAGAATCTTAAGTAGTTTTTTGCCTTGAACACAATTCTTTACCAACTTTTGCAAGCTCCAAATGTTGTTCTATGTCAGAATCTTCTGTAACGGTTCTCAGAGTTTTCAGGAAATAATAATCTAAATTCATTGTGAAATCTCCTCTTTGAAACTCTTATGGAAATCTCTTTAAATGTTTACAAAATCCTAATGAATTCTCGTAGATATTTCCTTAAAACTATATTCAATTTTCAAATCCGCAACATATTTTTCTCCAGTTATTTTTATTCAGCATTAGATTCTCTAGGAATTACTTTCCATATCCCCTCGGAATTCTCCTTAGAATTTGATTTAAATCATTGAATGATTGATTAACATTTAAGAGGTTTTCTAAAGGGTGTCCCACATCAAATTGCATCACGGAAAAACGCTGTAGAAAATTACCTAGTTGACCGATCCTTTTCAAACTATCAGACAATAAAATATAACCCATTAGTAAGCTTTTGGCATATTTATTTTATTCAACTTCAATACCATAACCGTAAGCTCGCACCTTACGCTTAACTCCACTCATTACGTTCTTTACAACATCTGGCTGCAGCTTCTTCTGTAAGGAAACCCACTTTTTCTTCATGTCTTCCCCAGATTTAACCTTCTTGGGATGTTTCCGAAGTGCCTGCTTCATAATAGCCCAGTATTTTTCGATGGGCCTTAGTTCCGGTGCGTTGGTGGGGGGGGGAGGTCATGTCCTTGTGTACAAAAGTGACCTCGTTAGCTTCGTACCACTCCAGGACAACATTTAAGTAGTGGCACAAAGCTAGATTCGGCTAGAAGATCGTAGGGCCCTCGTGTTGCTTCAACAGAGGAAGCAAACGCTTCTGTAGACACTCCTTGAGGTAGATCTCCTCGTTTACAGTCCCGGTAGTCACAAACGGCACACTACGTTTGCCACATGAGCAGATCGCTTGCCAAATCATGTATTTCTTGGCAAACTTTGAAAGTTTCTGCTTCCTTACTTCCTCCGGAACATGCTGGGCGGTGAAGAACAGTAGCCCCGGAAGTCCGCCTTGACGCCTACCGTATTTTGCCGTTCGTCACGATTTGGAGCCTTCTGCACTTTGTACGTATGCAGCCCTTCTCGATCCTTGGATCTCTGAACGAAAGACTTGGACAGATTCAACTTTGTGGCCACATCCCTGACCGAAGCATTGGGATTCCGCATAAACGCTTTCACGACACGCTTGTGATCCTGATCACTGATAGAACATCCATTTTGACCGCATTTCTCCTTCCGTTCGATGCTTAGAATTTTGTAGTAACGTTTAATCACACCGACTCACCGATGACTGCACGATTCCGAGTTGTTTTCCGATGTCCCGATGAGAGAGTTGAGGATTTTCCAGGTGCTTGCGCAAAATCAATTCGCGGCGTTGCTTTTCGGAAGACGCCACATTCGAAAAACTGACAGCGATAAAAATACAGTGTAAACAATACACACTAAACTACTTCTACCCAAATTTTCAAGAGAAAATACCCAATTGGTAGTTTTCTACAGCGTTTTTTCCATGATGCAATTTGATGTGGGACACCCTGTGGGCCCCAAGCTATCATAAGAAGTAGTGTTAAAATTGTTTTCATTTCATAATTAAGTTTGTAGAAGGATTAATTCACGTTGCATTCTCTTCCCGAATTCCTTTATACTGCTACCTGAAAATCTTTCAAAGTTGCTTCAGAATTCTCTGGACTTCATAATCTTTTAAAAAAATCTCTTCTGAACTACCTTGGGATTTGCCCATAGGTTTTTCCTAAAGTCTTCTTGAAATGCTTCTCAGAATTACCTGTAATTTATTTTCACATTTCTTAGGGATTGTCCTCTGAATTTCCTTTAGAATTATTCCTAAAGACTCTCTGGTAGAGAGAGAGAATTGTAGAGGAATAACATCCTCCCCAAAATTCATTTGGCATTCTGATCAAAATTCTCTAGACAATTCTTCAAATGTTGAGTGTCAAGTGTGTTAATTTGAATCGAAGAGTCAGTTTTTTTTTTTTATTTGAGAATTTTTGAAGCCTAAAATTTTGAAAATTTTAGAAATGTGAAAAACTGGCCTAGCCTTATCATCTTGAACATTGTCTCTTGAGATTTTCAAAAAAAAATATTTATCCGGGATCTCAAAAGTGTTAGGGGAAAAGTTGGCTTCGGCAATACCTTAACCTATTATCGTCAGGGGGTAAACAACGTCCTTGGGAGCTCAATTTTGGCATGTGGATACAATGTGTTTCAGAGCAACTATTGGCCAAATTGGAGTGCTCTAGGACTTTGTTTACCCCCGAAGCCAACATTTCCCCTATATGGAATAGGATTTCAGAAGAGTTCTTTTTTTTTTTTCAAATTATAAGAATTTCTGAGTTTTTTCTATCACTGTATAAAATTTGGTCCAAATACCCACTCCCCTGGTAGTGTTCAACATTCGAAATTCTGTAACGATATAAACATTTAAAATTTCGGACTTCAAAAATGTATCTAAATTATGTTATATAATTTGATAATCTAATGCAATCTTGGAGAAACCATTTTCCGCATTCTATTTTTTCTTCAATCCAGTTGTTTTCCGGTTTGCTGCCTTTAAAAATTTAACATTACATTGCTGCCTTTAAAAATTTAACAGAAATCTAAAGCTGAACTCAACCATGCTTTATCAAATTTTGCTGTGTCCCGGGAAAAATCGATTCCATTTCAATAGCTTCATGTTGCCAGGCTTTAGTGATCGTTAGTCGTAATGGTTTGTAGCTCGGTGGCTTAGCAGTGACCGATTTTGCTTACTGAGCATAATATTGTGGATTCAATCCATTTTTTGGATCATTCCTATATTTTTTAGAGCACAAACTTGATTTTCTACGGATTAATTTCAATAATTTATGGTTCATTGATGAATGGATGGATTATTTGCAATATGTGTATGGGTAATTCGTACAATTCCAATGCTCTTTCTTTAGAAACCCAGCGGTACATTTTTACAATTTTGTTGCAAAATTTAACATAAAATATGGATAATAGTTAAATTTTTTTATGGATCATCCAAAATTGTTGAGGAATTTTCACCGGAGTTTGATGGATAAGTTTAGTGTTTTTTAAGGAGCGTTTTCAATTGTTTATGGATCATTTGTAAGTTTATATATGCAAAAGTATGTTTGCCATTGAAAGCATTAAGCGGTGGATCACAAAAAAGCAATAGCACAAAACTCAGCCAATATGGATTCACCGACAGGAATTGGAATAAGCTAATTGAATATCGTTCAATTCTCAGTACGAATGGACCGCTTGGATTGTTACGAAAGGTTCTGCTTCTTCTTCGCATTCCAAGCCTATTGTTTATCGCAGATTATTGCGTGCTCTCAACTTAGTGTTCAAGATACACTTCCACAGTTGTATAATTGTGTGGCAAGTACGATCATACTCTCTATGCCCAGGGATGTCGAGAAATTTTCCAACCCGAAAAATTCCTAGACCGGACCGTGAGTCGAACCCATGGTCTTGCTTTATAGCTGCGCCTTTACCGACTGAGCTGAGGGCAAAGGCAAAAGGTACCAATACTGTATTATATAACATAGAGATGAACAAATTAACGTTTATGTTTTTCAGACCCTTGAACGGGTTCAAAAGGTATATGAGTCGTGCTTCAATGATATGCTAGATTCAGAATACGAGCAGCACATCGTACGTTTGGCTGAAACATGGAGATAAGTATAACTTCCTAATGCATTCTACTTTGCAAAAATTCAGTGAACAAGATACCGAGGCTGTTAATTTTGACTTTTCTACGGTAAGGTGCCGGAATCATCTGACAATTATGATAAAGCAT